ATGCTTGTGGTGTTATGGGTCTCCTGCCTGAGCAAAAAATCACTGCTGCGTTGCGGATGCTTGCGTATGGAGCATCTGCAGACCAAGTGGATGAGATAACGAGGATGGGGAAATCAACCATTCTTGAGGCCCTGATGAGGTTTTGCGGAGCAGTCGAATCTTTGTACACCGCAGAGTACCTCTGAAAACCTACTCGCTGGGACTTGCAAAGGCTTCTGGAGAAGGGCGAGATGCGAGGTTTTCCTGGGATGATAGGAAGCATCGATTGTATGCACTGGACGTGGAAAAACTGTCCAAGTGCATGGCAAGGCGCATATGGGGACAGAAAAGGATCAAAATCTATCATTTTGAAGGCAGTGGCATCTTTTGATATATGGATATGGCACTCCTTTTTCGGGGTTCCGGGGGCTCAAAATGATTTCAACGTCCTTGCCCAATCCCCAGTGTTCAACGACGTCCTGCAAGGAAAGGCACCAAAAGTCACGTACGTCGTCAACGGACGTAGGTACGAAGGGGCATACTACCTAGCTGACGGCATTTACCCACGGTGGGAAACATTTGTCAAAACAGTGCCATGTCCGCGAAGTGCAAAGGAAAAACACTTTGCAAGCTGTCAAGAGGGGTGCAGGAAGGATGTGGAGCGTTGTTTTGGTATCCTTCAAGCTCGTTGGGCGATCGTCAGGGGTGCTGCCAGAATGTTCGATGTAGAGTCACTTCGATCCATCATGATGATGTGCGTCATTCTTCACAACATGATTGTGGAAGATGAGTTCGATTATGATGCGGTTGATGAATATGAGCCAGAGGCAGACACGATGAACAATTCAAGAACACGGATATATTTTGCGCATGATGCCACCGAAGAACCCGTGCAACACGAGCCATTAGAAAGGGATGGACGTTACAATGAAAGGGTCATTGAACGATATATTGCACTTCAAAGGTTATCTATGCACAATGATCGGCAAATTGACTTGATAGAGCACCAGTGGGCATTGAAACAAGCTGAAGATACTTAAGTTTATTTAGTATGTTTGTTTGTATTTGGTGTGTTTATGTATTTTTATTTGGTGTGTTTTTTGTAGTGAGTTTATGTATTTTTATTTGGTGTGTTTATGTATTTTTATTTGGTGTGTTTATGTATTTTTATTTGGTGTGTTTATGTATTTGTATTTGGTGTGTTTATGTATTTTTATTTGGTGTGTTTGGTGTGTTTATGTATTTTTAGTTGGTGTGTTTATGTAATTCCAATTGGTGAGTTTTATTTGGTGTGTTTTATAATTTCATTATACGTGAACAATTTGATGATTTAAAGATTCTATTATTAGGATAAATATATTACGAAATTAAATACATGTACTCTCACTTTAAATAAAGTACTAACTTCAATAAAATGGAAACAACATAAATAATAAATTACAACCCAAAGTGATTGGAAAACTATGGGCTCCGATTACAAAAGTACCCTATTCCTCACCACTTAACCAATCTGTGGTGCTAGGATCATCTTGTCTTGTTGTGCTAGGACCATCTTGTCTTGATCTCGCTTCTCTTGCACGCCTCATTTGCACCACATCCGCTTTCTCCGACTGCCAAAAATATTTAGAATTTGGAGACGTCCCTTCTAAACGCGTGTTCATAATGTCACGATCTCGTTGTGCAATTCTTTCTTCTCTAAGCAACTCCCTTTCTTGCCTAAGTAGCTCTCTTTCCCTCTGTTCAGCTTCAAATGCTTGTTGAATAGCTGCAGCTTTTACCTTTTCTCTAGCCTTGTCAGCCTCATATTTCGCCAATTCCCGCGCCAACGTCAATTCACCTTGACGAGCAAGTTCTTGCATGTACTTTCCATAATCATTCTTGGAAGCACTCCCTTTCCTCTTTGAAGCCTTCTTACCTAGAGGCCTAATTGGATAACGGGTCGACCCCGACGCTTGTTCAGGAATGGGCGTTTCAGGCACTTCTTCTCCATCTTCTTCATCAACATGGGAGCCATGATCGGGTGTAGAGTGTGGAGGGGTGCTGTGTACAAAGGTGCTGTGTAGAGGGATGCTGTTCATGCATACTTCTGGACCAACAGGTACAACTTTGAATTTAGGACAATCTTTAACAATATTCCAACATTCCCACCGGGTGAATGATTTGTTTCTTGATTTGATTTTGGCACCATACCATGCTTGTGCTTGAAGTTGCTACAAATGAATAATAATGAAATTATTAGGTAACAAATAAATAATACAAACAAATGAATAATAATGAAATTATTAGGTAACAAATAAATAATACAAACAAATAATAATAATGAAATTAATTAGGTAACACAAATAAATAATACAAACAAATAATAATAATGAAATTATTAGGTCACAAATAAATAATACAAACAAATAATAAAAATGAAATTATTAGGTCACAAATAAATAATACAAACAAATGAATAATAATGAAATTATTAGGTAACAAATAAATAATACAAACAAATAATAATAATGAAATTATTAAGTTACAAATAAATAATACAAACAAATAATAAAAATGAAATTATTAGGTCACAAATAAATAATACAAACAAATGAATAATAATGAAATTATTAGGTAACAAATAAATAATACAAACAAATAATAATAATGAAATTATTAGGTTACAAATAAATAATACAAACAAATAATAATAATGAAATTATTAGGTCACAAATAAATAATACAAACAAATAATAAAAATGAAACAAAAAAATTAGGTAACAAATAAATGAAACAAAAAAATAATTATAATCAAATTAGGTAACAAAATAATAATACAAACAAATAATTATAATATATTCTTACCTCATCCGCATAATTTGCCCCACTTCGAACATTATTACTAGCTTGTGTCAAGGCATCTCTCCACGTAGTAAAGGAATGGCTAAGTATTTTCCAACGACTGGATATCGATTTTTTGGTTCTTTTCCCACTCATTTGCTCAAGAAATTTACCATGAATTAAACTCCACATTTCTCGCAATTGCATCTCATTACCCGTAAGGGAATTATGAGTAACTTCAACCCAGCTAGTGCACAACGCAACATCTTCAAGAAGCGACCAATTCGAACCTGCATCAGTAGTCATTTTGTGGAAAAAAAATTGGATTGAAACTTTGAGAGAAAGATAGGAATTTGATTGAAAGTAGTTGAGAAAATATGAAATTGTGGTGTAAGGTAGATGGAGAAGAAGTGGTATTTATAGAAAAGTGAAAACAATTTTTTACAATTTTTTTCAGATTTTTTACAATTTTTTTCGGATTTTTTACATTTTTTTTTAATTTTTATTCAAATAATTAATCTCTGCCGTTGGATTTAAAAAAATTTGAATTCCAACACACCAGATTGTGCCACGTGTCACAACGGTAACTTTTCTAAATTTTAAAACTATTTTTTTTATTTTATAAAGCATATTAATATCAACCGTTGATCTCAGATCGAACGGTTGATATAAAATCAACTTTTTTTTTTATTACCGTTGCAAATCGGACGACTCTTATGAAATAGCCGTTGGGATCGAACGTACCGTGGGAAGCCACGTGGCTTCCCAACGGTCACTGACGCCGACCACTTGCGCCTGTTAACCTGTCGGGCGACGCGCCCCCACTCGCGAGTGAGGGGCACGCGCCTGACACAAAAAAAATAAATAAAAGGGCCGGACCCAGCCCTTGCGTCACGCTGACGTCACTGGGCTCGGGCCACAGGCCTGTCGATTTTCCACGGGCCTTGAGCTCGGGCTCCCACCCTCACTCGGGCCCTTCAACGCTGAACTTGGATCGACCGGCCCTCGGGCTCCCACATGGGGCCTGTCCCCCGTGCAACTCCAATGGCTGGACTTGCTCTTAAAGCTAGCCCTGCGCTCCCCCTGAATTAAACCATCTAACTGCTTCTATAAAAGCGTTGATTACTACTGCATGCAGTAAAAAGGGAAAGCTTTTTTGTAAAAATCAAAGTGAATCAAACAATCTAACTACTTTTATTAAAGTGCTGAATCATTACGACTGCTGCATGCAGTCCTGAGATTGTATGAGAAAAGAGATATAGACAACCAATAATCTCGGCTTCCTAATTGAATCAAACCAGTTAACTACTTTTATAAAAAAAAAACTAATGAAAAGAGTTTGAAAATTTTGAATTTTAACGATAAGAACTAAATAAAGGGTAAAGTGAATAGTATCAAGTTTGACTTTTTAGTGTAAAAATATGATTTTTCATTAAAATGAATAATAACACCGACTTTTCGTTAAAACTAACTTTATCAAAAGTGCCGATTACTGCTGCATGCAGGAAAAAGGGAGAAGCTTTTTTGCCAAAAACCAAGGTGAATCTAACAATCTAAATACTTTTATAAAAGTGATGAGTCATTGCTACAGATGCACGCAGTATCGAGTATGGATGAGAAGGAGTAGGATTATATTCCCTTCTAATTTCTTTTTTTTCTTATTTGAACAGTTACAGATAAATCACGTTAATGTTATGTGTTAATTTTTTAGTAGAAAAAAAAAGACAAAAAATAATATGTAAGAGACGGAGAGGAAAAGAGATGGAAATAGGAGATGAGAGAATCCTACTCTATATATGAGAAAGGAGATTAGTCATGTACATGCACGAGAATGAGATCCAAGTGACTCTAATTAATCTTAATTTAGTATGAGTCAAATCATGAAAGCATAAAGCTAATGAGGGCCGATGACAACTTTATATTTTTCAATTCCCACTTTTAACTAAATAGAAAAAAAAAAGGAAATGATAAATAAACAAACCGACGTCGTTTATGGGGAAGAAAGAACAACACAAATCACAAAATATTATTAAATTCCTTTGAAAACATAAAGTAAGGATAAAAATAATAAGGTCAAAAAGTTATTTGAAAGAAATAAGGTTTGGACGTGTGCAGTGAGGTGGGCGGGACCGGCGGGTCCTTGCTAAGATGGAAGGAAATTTGGAATTATGTCTCTCAAATCGCTTATAAACTCGCAGTCGGCAAATTTGAAAAGTAAAAAACTAAACAAGGAAAGCTATAGGGAGAGAGAGAGAGAGGAGAGAGAGAGGAGAGAGAGACGGGTCACTTGCTCAGCCCCATACCGACAGAAAGCTGAGAAAACTAGAACTCTTTCCAGTTTCCGGACAAAGATTTGTACTTGCAGACGAGCAGAAAGAGTTAAGCTTCAAAAGCATTAATAACAACACCTCACGTTCTTACTGTTTGGAACTGCACTCTCTCCTCACAGGTCAGCTCTCGTTTTTCTCTCCAAAATTTGATTTATTTTGCCCTTTTTTTCTTCATGTTCTTGAATCAAGATTGATGCTTTTCGACTTTTGGGCCATTTGTTGAGTAAATGGAACTGGGTTCGGCTCGTTTTTAGTTGTTGACTTGTAATTGTTTTGGTTTTCATTGGTTTTTGTTTGGTTGCCGAGAAAATCCGGGAAAATTTTAACACCATGCTTGAATTTGGTCACTACTGATGGATATTCCCAGGGATCAGATTTTGTGAATCTTTTTTGTACTTTTAAAGTTAAACTAATCTAAACTGGGAAGAGGGAGATTCGAATTCAGTTGCATAACGAGATCACATCTGCTATGGCCAGAGTGACTATGTCCACGTCTGCATATGAACCTTTTTTTGTTTGGTTCACAGAATGCTTGCATAATATCTGCGGTCCCTTGCAACGAAAGCGATGTTTGTGTCATGAGATAAATACAACGCTCATACATTTTCTCAGCAAGAAAAGTGAGATTTAGTGTGTCTTGCCTTTGATCTTCATAAGTTTTTAGTTTCTACTTCTGAGATCAGTTATAGTGTAACAGTAACTAGCACTCAGATTTCAAGGTATTACTGCTAAATTTTCGTAATTACTAAGGTCCTGGAGGAGGCCAGATTTGCTTAGGTAAGCTTCATTGCCATTGAGCCTTTATGCTAAATGGAAAATTCTTGGCATCTTTTGACATAGGTGCCTCAATTTTGAATTTTTTAGATCAAACATCCATGTCTTTTAGTGATTTGATTAAATTTTTTTTTGGTCATAATTTTGGTGCTATATGCACATTATATTGTAACAAATTTCCTATAATCTAGCTTTTTTATTACACTCTCATCCATTAGAGATAATTGTAAAAAAAAAAAAAGTTGGTTAGATTCAATTTATTTTCACAATAATGCTACAATTTAGCAATAATTATCTACGATTGAAGATATTTTCTTTCCAAAATAGTTTAAAATATTTTTAAATCCCCCAAAATCAAACATACCAAAATGAGTTTTTCTTATAGTACGTTAAGAGAAAATAGGTTTGAGAATAGTATAAACGTATCAATACACAATGTGTACAAAATAAAACGTACCAAAATAAAAATAATATACCAATATTAACAATATGTATCAAATAAAATGTACCAAAATTGCAAATAAACGTACAAATTAATTATTTTTGTAAATTCAAACGTACCCGCAGATAATATATACGTAATATATTGTACCTAATAATAATTCGTCAACAACTATACTTAAAAAAACAGCAATATATATATATATATATAATTTCACAAAAAAATTGAAAAAATTATACGGAGCTTTTATGCTGATCACCAACTATTTGAAAAAGAAAAAACCATTTGGAAAAAGAAATAATATTAAATGTTTGCATAAAAAACCTATTTGGAAGAAGAGAAAATATAGTTTAATTACTAAAATCTCCACTAAATAAGAAAAAGTGCATCCTACAGATAAAAGGATAAATTAAAAAATTATTTTAATTTTAAAAAATAGAGGTGACTATTGGTCAAAGCACTTTAATCAAATTTTAAAAAGGCACAGATATTTAATCTAAATGATATAGAAAAACTATAGGGGATTCTAATTTTCCCAAAATTCAGTAAATAATATTTTATCACTCTCAAAAAATGCACAACTTGTTTTAAAACACACAAATGCGTATTTGAAACGATCAACAACAACAACTGAAACAACAACAAACAAGCATTATCCCAATAAGTGGGGTCGGCTATTTTTGAAACGATCAACATAAGAAAATAAAATAATGTCTAAATAGCCAAAATGGTCCCTGAGATTTTCATAACACGTCACTTTGGTCCATGAGATCGAAAATCAATAGAATAGTTCCTGAGATTGTCCACCATCCATCATTTTGGTCATTCCGTTAAAAACTCTTTGGGTAATTTTCAAAACTTCGTAACTCAATCGTTTCTTAACCAAATTCAACCCATAATATATCAAAATGAAGATCGGAAAGTGTAGAACAAGATTATACCTATTTGGAAGCCCAATGGTTAGCGGAGATAGCCGGAAAATAGCCTCAAATGTGACTGGACCACGGAAAAACTGGAAAACTCGCCAGAAACTGGGTAAATTTTAAACGTTCATAACTTCTTCAATATTCAACGAAATCGAGTGATTCAAAAATAAAAATCATACTACTCGATGAGATGAAGAGAATGGTACCTTTCTCGACTGCTAATTCACCGTGGTTTGGTCGAAAAACGGCTCGAAAGTGGCTAACCATTTTCGAGTTAGCCACTTTCAAGTCGTTTTCCAGCCAAACCACGGTGAGTTAGCCATCAAGAAAGATACCATTCTCTTTTTCTCTTCGAGAAGTATGATTTTTGTTTTTGAATCACTCTATTTCGTTGATTATTAAAGAAGTTATGAACGTTTAAAGTTTATTCAGTTTTCGGCGAGTTTTCCGGTTTTCCCGCGGACTAGTCACCTTTGAGGCTATTTTCCGGCCATCTCCGGTAACCATTGAGCTTATAAATAGGTATAATCTTGTTCTACACTTTCTTATCTTCATTTTGTTATATTATGGATCGAATTTGATTAAGAAACGCGAGTTACGAAGTTTTGAAAATTGCCCAAAGAGTTTTTAAATGAAGGACCAAAATGATGGATGGTGGAAAATCTGAGGGACCATTTATATTGATTTTCAATCTCAAAGACCAAAGTGATGTGTTATGCAAATCTTAGAGACCATTTTAGCTATTTAGAGGTCGCACTTGGTGCGATGGCAAGTGCCTTCGCCCATGAGCGGTAGGTCTCGGGTTCGAGACTTGGGAGCAGCCTCTCCATAAATGGGGGTAAGGCTAGCCGACATTCACCTCTCCCAGACCCTGCGTAAAGCGGGAGCCTTGTGCACTGGGTACGACCGAGATCGTTTCAAAAACAGCCGACCCCACTTAGTGGGATAATGCTTGTTTGTTGTTGTTTCAGTTGTTGTTGTTGATCGTTTCAAATACGCATTTGTGTGTTTTAAAACGATTTGTGCATTTTTGGAGTGTGATAAAATATTATTGACTGAATGCCATCCTATCTTGATTTGCTGCTAACTGCTAAACTGTTTTATAGCCATTCTGTCTTGCTGATTGTTCAGGAACTCCGAGTGAATTATGTTGGTTTGTTAATGGGCTGCTATTGTTCAAAGGAAGCTAAAACGCCTGGCTATGAGGACCCTGCGGTTCTTGCTGCTGCGACACCTTGTAAGCATGCTTTATCACCCTTCTACTCACTACTCTGCTGCAACTTTTCTCGTTTACATCTTCGTACTTCCACTCATAAACAATCGTACTCATTTTTTCCGTTGAAACTGCTTTTGAAGTGATAACTAATCTTAATCATCCATCACTAGTTCATACTTAACTGATAGTTTGAGATCAACTTGGATGCTGCTAAAGATATTGGTCACGTATTTTGTCTCCTGAATCGGGAGAAGTTAGATATTAAGTTACCCAAATGGAGAATTGGAGTTTTGACTTGAATTTTTCTTTGTTGCAGTTACTGTGAACGAAGTAGAAGCCTTGTATGAGCTTTTTAAGAAATTGAGCAGTTCGATATTTGATGATGGACTGATCCACAAGGTAGGTTTGCTAAAACTTTCAAGTAAGATTTACCTTCACGTATATCATCTTGTGCAAATCAAATTCTACGAGTAACTACTCTAAAATTTGGGTTCTTATGTTCAACTGAACGATAATATTCTGTCATCTATCTTTTTGTGCAGGAAGAATTTCAGCTCGCGCTCTTCAGGAACAGAAATCGGAGGAATCTTTTTGCAGACAGGGTGTGTGATGCTGACTTCTCTTCTCTCAGATTATTTTATGTCGTTATTTGCTGAAGGGAGTGTGATGATGGAGCAATACGGGGAGGGTGACTGATGTTTATTTTACGTGTGAAAAATCTTGTGTGTTTATTATTAAGTAAACGCTAGACGCGGTTTTTTAATCTTTGGGTGTTCATGTAGATTTTTGACTTATTTGATATCAACGCAATGGGTTTATGAGTTTGGAGAATTTGTTCGATCATTTAGGTGTCTTTCCACCCCAAAGACACCTTCGAAGACAAATTCATGAAGTACGACATTTATCCTCTTCTCTGTATATCAACTAAAAGCTTCTGTTGCGAAACCCTTCACATTTAATCTGGGAAAGGGGAAAAAAATTGAAGACCCTTTACTTTAAGTGTGTTATTCTGCTACTGACGTGGGAATTCTTTTGCAGTTGCTTTAGACTGTATTTGAGACAGAACAGGTTACAGTTAGCGAGAAGACTCAGTCTTTACAAACTTCGTTCTTTACATTTCTGATCCTAGATGGAAATCGGCTCTCGTAATTAATTAGGTTTTAATCATTCCATGGGACAGGTGAAGGATGATATACGGCACTTCTGCATGATATCTGATCTGGCACTCTCGGATGATGTCATCAGAATAGTGATTCTGTGGACTAGGGTGCGAAACTTCAACTCATATCATTTATCCACCGATTCCTACACTCCTTGCTCATTAGTAATTTCTTACATTTTCCTTATTCCGCAGCAGTTGCGCAGATAAGAAAGAATGGGCAGTAAAGGAGGGAGTTTTGTGTGACAGACATGAATTGAAGAATACGAATTATTAGAAGTAGAATGTAATTTAACATTGAGTTGTTCCTCTTAGAATCGTTATAAGAATCTGCTATCGATTCTTAGTTCTATCTTACAGAAAGGGTATAATTAAATTTCCGACAGGTATATGATCTGGGTTGACAATCAGAAAATGAGAGATTAAGAATGAAGCATGCCGCGAGAATCTCGAAGCGTTCGATGCGCTAACTCGCACTTTGACAAGACTAAATTCTGGTCCTCAGGGGCCTAAATAACTCTCCAATTATGCGACGGAGAATTGACAAGAAGCGTCTTCATTGTATGCTGTCAAATTATGTCCCAAACTAGCGCTGATGTAATGACGTTGTTTTTCAATCCCATTTGTGAATCACTTGTCTGAGTTTTTCTCCTTCTTATCGAATTACAATCAGTCTGGAGTTATATAAATTAGCTTAGATATGATGCAGTCCTCTTCGACAAATTGTGTTTCTCATGCGAAGCCAGATGCGCAAAGATAGCGATCATATTCTTAACGTCGTGCACACAAAAATTTGTGTGAACTTTGAATTAAGCGGATGCAGGTTAAGTAAATTAGTCAGAACAGTGCGTTCAGATTTTATACAAGTTTGAATTCTTTTTCTTGTCAATTTGAGTCTCTGACAGATTCAAAAATTTATCCTTGAAGGATCATCTTGTACAAGCATCCAAAATTTTTCAGATGAAACTACCTTTGGAAAAAAACCAATACTCAATTGTCTTCATGAATTCATACAAATAAACTGTTTAGGAGATTGGGTACAGCATGCAACAATTGTCTGCATTGCAACCAATTATCACAATGGATAGTCCCTGTTTAATTAACCAATTAGTCTATAAACATTTGGTAAATTCAGACTCGTTTGAAAGTACCTGTAATTGAAAACAATTTCAGGCTAAGAAGCACTTCAAGTATTTCTTGCAGGAAGCACTTCAGAATTTTTTTTAAGATTTACTTGTATTTTTACTTAAAATTGGTTCCAAAAATATTTCTATTTTGAAATAATTTCATCTTTGACTTAAGACATTATATGGAGTAGTTAGTCCAACACTAATCTTAATTATTTAATTTCTTACAAATAACCGATGCGTAAATTCTTTTTCGGGGTAAAAAGAGATGAGATTTACTTTAGAAATTATTATTGGTATTTCAAAAATCTCATTTTGCACTTTAAACTTTCTATAATTAGAAAGAAAAATGTACTTGTGAAGAGGTCGTAGAAATGGTTTTCTGAGGTGCTAATAACACTTCCTTTCACTTCTTGGTCGAGAAGGAGATCATCTCGATCTCTTCCACGAGGCCAGTGCTCAAGTGATCCGGACCTTTACAAACTTCTCACATTAATCGCCCCACCTGTTTTGATCCCTTTAAAACTATAATAATTCATTACCATTAAATAAATTCAAAGATTCTAGATCAATAATGTGACGACTTAGTGAAGAGACCGAAAAATCTATCTCCATTTCAAGTAATAGGGAATTAATTAATACTATGAGATAATTAATGTGAAAAACGGGGAGAACTGATGGGTAGTTTATTATATTCTTTGCGCCCTGCCCGCAACCGACAAATTTGTGCATGTCTAAACGTGAAACGGGTCCTGCTGATGGCTATTATACTTGGCCAAAATACATGCTATATTCGGCGCTGTGGTATCGTAAGATCATATCTCTGAAAAATTGTCTTTTCCTTTAGTGATTTAAACCAAGAAGAAGGCATTTTGGAAACGAATTGTCGGTACGCCTTCATTTCGTATATCCTTACTGGACGCTTACGCGTAAATAAATGTCAGATTTATTTTATTAATATTAACGAATATCTGAATTTATAGTATTGCGCAAAAAGATTGTCTCCTACCATTATACTATGTATTCAAATCAATGGTTTTGTGGAGTACTTCTTAACAAACACAGACACGGTAAGTTTAATAATTTAATACGCAAATAATTTAAGCTACCAAGGCTTACATTAACACTTACGATGAATAAGCATAAACCTAAGACATATTGCGAAATTGGTTGATGAATGCCAAGCCACAAAATCTTCACTGTCACTCCGCCATATAATTTTGATACTCCAGCGTTGTATAAAAAATTATTTAAAACTGTATGACTACGTGACAGTAATATTACGACGGATTTAATTCTATTGTTGTGTATAGTTGTTCGCCTTATTATAACATTGCGCGTGCATTCATATAAAAAAGCTCGTTCAACAGCAGATATATTCTGTTGTTAATTAGTTAGTTAACGATTAAGCTATGATAAGCAAACAAGATAGAAACGTCACAGCCTTCTTCAACCATCGTTTCCTGGTTAACATTTTCAACGCACGTACTGCTCACATCTCACTTCTCTCTCTCTCTCTCTCTCTCTAAAGGACAAATCGATTCAGTGATTCCAAAGAATCGGACTTTCTCGAATTCCAATACGATTCTCTCATATTTCGCAGGAATACCCGAAACCCACACTTGTTGTATGCTTCGGAGTTTCTAGCCGCTCGTTTTCACAGTTCCTGCTCCAAATTTTAAGTTTCTTCGGCTTTTGTTATTATTCATTTTCATTCATTATTTAGTTCTTTTGTTCTTTTTGTTTTTTTTGTGGGATGAGGTGCAGTTCTTGGTTAGCTTTATGGATCCGTTTCTCCTGCAGTCCCACAAGGAGCCTATTATTGGGATTTCTTAGAAGGTAATATTTTTTAATTCATATTACATGATGTTCTTACTAACAGTTTTTGCTTAATTGCTGAGGAAGTTGTGTTTTGAAGTCAAAGATTCAAATTTCTTAATAATGGGTTTTGGATTTTGATTTTAATGCTGTTTTTGTGGGTCGATTCTCTTATTGATTGTTTCATTCATTTTTTGTTTTTGTAATTGATATTAGTTGATTAGGAGAGATTCTGGATTGTTCACATCGAGAAATTTATTTTAAACATCATTCTGAGGATCAAAGACACGAATTTATGACAACATTACTTTCGAATGCCTGTGTTATCTTTCGCCATCTTGAGACTGATTCTGTCCACTCACGTATGAAAAAAAGCCCTGTTGCCCGATATATTTCGAGTCCAGTTTCAGTCTGATATACTATACAACTTATTTGTTTATGGGATCAACTTGAAGACAAAGTATTTGCTCGTTTCAAACTGGAAGCAAGAGTTAGTTTTCAGTCCTCCTAATGGGACTTGGAGAGAGCAATATACACCAGAAGAAAAGTGAGGAGGGAGAGGTCGAGGGCGCGTCGGGTTGGGGAAGCTGACAAGTATTTGAAAAGGTGAAACAAGCTGCACTGATGCAATGGGGTGCCCATTGCCGCTTGGTGTGTTCCTCAATCCCTTTTTTGCATAACAATCTTATTATTTTGTTATTTTTGTATTTTATAGTACAATTGAGTTCTCATTTGATTATATGGTCCTTGTTTTTTGGGCTTTTTATTTCCAGGATCTTTCTAATTCACAAGCCGAGGTCAAGCTTCCGTGCACATCAGGTTCACCAATTATTGATCCCCATCTATCTCCAGATGGTACAATGCTCGGTTATGTAAGAGATGCGAGTTTGCACGTTCTAACTTATAAAAATGTATTCAGTTAACATATGGTGCCAAAGGAGATGTTTTGGTAAGTTTTCTATACAGTAACTCTAGGTCTGGACTAACTGAGTCACTTCAATATTATTAGCATTTTTACAGTTTGCAACTATAAAATATTTCTGTCACAATTAGTATGTTTTAGTGATCGGAGCTTAAGATAACATCCTTGTGACTTGGCCTCCGTCGCTTAAGCCACCATAAATTCTTAATCTTTCTGTCACTTAAGCCAACATAAATTCTAAAGGAATTCTAGTGGATTTGTATTTTGGATTTACTTTCAGTGCTATAGATTAGATTAGAATTCTGATCTTTTCGTTGATATGAATCTGGTTTTTCTGTGTCGCAGACTCATGGCCTTGCGGAATATAATGCCTCAGGGTTGAAAGAGTGTTATAACCTCCTTTCAGATTAAATTGAGCTTACGAATTACTCAGAAGGTTATTTAAAATCCTAGATTCTCTGAATTTTACTCATACAGGGAAGAAAATTCGACGAAATGGGTACTGTTTCTCTAGACAGCAATTCATTGCAATTCAAGAAGTTGATTCTCTGAGATTCCGCTTTTCAGGATCATCTCAAGGCGATGCTCTGTTGGATCTGAAGCTCAAAAGATCATGCCTATCCCTTTGCGGGAGCTTCAAGCTACAAAGTTCGCTAGGTGTGGTTCTTCTGTGGAGGTCTATACTTGATGGATCTTCTGTGTGGGGAGCAGATCAAGCCAGAAGTGAGGACGATATTGGCAACTAAAAATTGGCATGACACGGAACATGCTTTATACTCAGGTTTTGAAGGGTACACAGCAGACTCAAGATCACCGTAACGAGAT